ATATATTATATTATATATATGGTGTTATACCCAGCACACACACACACACACCACACACAACACCACACAACATATATATATTATATATAGTAAATATATATATTATATATATTTATATATATATACTACATTAATAAATAACAACATATATACACGACATATCATATCATATATATATTATATATATATATATATATATATATAACAGTGTCACAACACACAACATCACACACACACACCAACACACCCATCATATCATACATATATATATATATATATATATATATATAATATATATATATTATAATTATATGTCTTGTGTGTGTGCTTGTTTGCGCGTGTGGGTACATATATAAATAAATATATATATAATATAACATATATATATATGTATGTACATATATTTATATATATATATATATTATATATATATATATATATATATATATGTAATTAATTATATATATATGTGTGTGTGTGTGTGTGTGTGTGTGTGTGTGTGTGTGTGTGTGTTTGTGTGTGTGTGTGTGTGCGTGTGTGTGTGTGTACATATGTATGTATATATGTATATATATTATATATATATATTATATAATTCTTTATATATATTTCATATATCTATATATATTATATATATATATATTAATATGCATTATACTACTACAATACATACATATATATATTATATATATATATATTATATATAAGTATATATATAGACACATATCTGGATATACGGATTCCATATCACTTCTACGTGAATACAATGTTATATTTATCTCTGCCGAGACGTGACGGAACTACGATTCTTTTGTGCCATGATGGTAATCTTCCACTTACTAATCTTCCGGCGATTACATGAAATTCGGCAAAGTCTTTTGCGGAACAGCCAGCGGACCTTGGTGCGAAATGCCTGCTTTGAAGACTTCGGACTTCGGGCTTCGGCTCGGCTGAGGATGAGCAGCGGGGGCGAGGCGGTGTGTTCATAACGTAACTGCTAACTGTTGCGCTCCAGGAAATTGTGCATATCAATCATTTCGTGGTTTAGAAGTTAAAAAGTCAACTAGTTTGGTTTGGTACAATATCATCTCAGCTGGATGGAAAGTATACTTGTGCTCAGTAAATATCTTTGACGGAAATAAACTTGAACGACCTTTCATGACATCGCCATCTGATCTATTTACAAATAAACGTCTCGCTGGACGCTCTCGAGGCGACTCGACTCGCCTTTCCATCCGAGGCGAGCGAGCAGCTGCGACGGTGTTCAGCTCGATGGAAGAGACTGGAGCTAACATTAACATAGATGGGGCACAAAACAATGGTAAGAATGGATGGTGAGGAACGCACATCAAACATATGAGAACGAAAGAGAGACGGAGTGCGTGTTGTCGCCGGAATTATTTCCGCCGTATGGTGAGGTGATCGTGGAGCAACAGCAGGGCGAAGCGTTGGAGGATAGAACATGAATAACCTGATGACTCTGAGCTCGTCGCAGATTCGGAGGAAAAATATCCAGGGTTGGCCAGGATTGCTGCAGCAAGCGATAGGGAAAATAAAATGCATAATAGCAAAGGGAGCGTGTGCCTAGAAGGATGGTGAGCAGAAACCAATTGGTAAGTAAGTCCAAATACCTGGGGAATGTTACAGAAGAGGATGGGACGTGTGAGAAGACCATCGGAGAGGGTTGCCATAGAAAAATAGGCGTTTGGAAATGCCAGGAACTTTTTATCGAATAGGAAGTTGCCATTCAAGACATGGAGGAGGAATAATGAGGACCTATGTCAAGCCACAGAACTCATAGGGAGATTCAGGCAAGGAATCTGATCAAATAAACTTCATAGCAGCGATTTGCCCAAGAGCCGTGCTCGAGTCTCACCAGTTTCTTCCTCCATTCCCTTCTGTTTCCTCCACGATATCGCTGTCTCATTAATATGCATTTATATGAATCCAACATGTAAGTTTGTGTACAGCAATGAAATGGACCTTATCATTTTAAATTATATAATTTATATATTATATATATTATTATGTATATATATAATATATATATACATATATTATATAAAAGAAATCATATCTCCTAATGGAGATATAATGAATGAGCTACAATAACAGGCAATATCGAATCCCAATTAACTCAAAATGGACGGTATCAGCACAGGTGGAGAAGAATTTGGAAGCGTAGATGTGGTTCTCTGAAAAAAGGCGATGAAGGTCTCACAGACTGGCAGGATACAAATGGCGCAGCGTTGGAGAATCGAGAGTTGAAAGTGGACGTGAAAGTTCTCGCACGCAAAGATAAAGAGGTATCGCGAACATGTTACAATCTGCTGTGATGACGGAACGCAAAAGGTGAAGCAGCGAGGAAACTACTTTGAGTCCTAGGTGGAGGAATGGCTCCTGGATGATGGGGCAGGTGGAAGTGCAGCGTGCCTTCGTCCTGGGGGAGAAGACACAGCGGTAAGGTATCTTCCCTATATTAGTGCTATTTTCTACGCCTTGGAGAAATTAGCAGTTATGGAGAGGGGAGGGAGGCATGCAGAGTCACCGCGATCCTCTGCTCACTCTGCCAAAACTATACCAATAGTCATGTGTACGCGCTGTTGCTGTGTGCAGAAAAAACACGTTGACTCCGCGTCTAGTCAGCAAAACGAAACTTTAAACATTCTACTCGTACGGGATAATATTTCACGAGAGGCAAACACCTGTCCATGGCCAAATTAAAACCATTTTCCTTACACATCATGCTACTATCTTCACGTTTTCATTAATAAATGAAGCAATATATAGTAATAGGTAGTTTATACCACAGCGAGATAGAAACATTGGAACCGTGAGGCAAGATGCATTAGGTTTTAATTTGATATACGACGAATTGTGGCTCTAACATCTGTAGTCTATGACACTGCGTCCGTGTGTATCTGAACGCGTGTGTTTTGCTTGCTTATGAGTTCACATTGTCATCCGAAAGATACTTCTAATTGCAGAAATTTCCGGTCTCTATTTTCTAACNTTCATTTATTTCTTTTCTGTCCATATTCTTTTCTCGTTTTCATTATTCTCTTTCTGTCCATATCTTTTCTCTGTCATACTCATCTCTCTCTCTCTCTCTCTCTCTCTCTCTCTCTCTCTCTCTCTCTCTCTCTCTCTCTCTCTCTCAGGAAAAAAGATAGACTGGCAACTCAGCCCGTGCACTGGAATATCCTTATTCGCTAAATTACTTTCGAGAGAAAATAAAAGAACACAGTAAAGGCAGCTGATTCCAATCAAAACATAAGCAAAGCTATTGTACATATAATTTTAAAGATATAAAACACACGAAAACTTCAACATTATATATCAGCTGATTATAGTAAACACAGGAGAATTAGCCAATCGGAAATGGGGAAGGCTAGATCAGTAGCAACTGGAGGAGGTGTCATGGCGCTTGACTACATTTAGTACCCCCGTGAAAGAAACTTATGGGAAAAGTGGTGGTTAGAAATATAATACCGTCCAATAAATTTCATCTGTCTTCTTACTGATACCCATAGATGGCCCCATCGGCGGTTAAGCATACTCTACCGTTTTTAAACGAAAATGTGCTGCAGCCCCTTCTAAACAGAGGCATAGCTAGTTCTTTTTGGTGATGGGGGTGTAACAAAGCATTTGGAGTACAGTATTTTACACATTTTTGGCCAATACTTGCTTGAAATACACATTTTCCGTAACGCCTGGGCGGCATGGGCCTCCTGCCCCACCCCTACCATTAGCTACACCCCTGCCAAATATATTATGAATTAAATGGGCATTTGCACCATTGCCAATAGCAAACAAGATTTAAAAAAAAAATGACAAGAATTTATCATATTAGTCGAAGATTGTGTGATGGAAGCTGAAAACAATGACGCGTAAAAGCATTTTTATGACATGAAGCACAAATATCTAGAGACCTGAAAGGGATATAGTATTTCAGTACAGGTTCAAACTGGTTCTAAAAACTTTCTTGGTATCTGCCCTGTAGTAATACTCAAAATATTTAAGAATACATAAATATTTTCCATTTCCGGTATGAAGGCCCTATATTTGAGACTGGTGTTAAATTTCACCATTGTGTGACCTCTGGTGACCTTGACCTTATGTTTGAGTAGTCCTGCTTACATTCATCTTGTAGCTTACTTCCTAAGCTACAAAATGAGTGGTCATGCATGGCTATATGTTGTTTAATTCAAAAGGTATTGTTATTCTAGTTCCCCTACCCCCCATTTTTTATGCATCCGAGGGTGCTGACTTTTCAGACAAAACACTGACTAGCTCCATTACTGCCGGGTTTCAGCATGTCCATCCTCGTTAAAAAGTTGCCCCAGGAGACCCCCACAAAAATCAAGTGAGTGATTGAGGGACCCTCTCGACCCCCAAAATCATCCTTGGCTCCTGTACTAATTTTAAAATGTTTTACACATTTGAACGTTCCATCCCCACAAGGGATTCGCCGCTAATGACCTAGCCTGTTGACGCGTCAGTTTGATTTAAATAATCAATCAAACCAATCCTGTTGGCTGGATTAGAACGCGCGTCCTGATTGGTCGAGTCCCGCCATTTGAGAATCAGCTGCCAGGAGCTGATCAGCTGAGCAAAAGCCTTCCTTTCCGATGGCCCAAAGTTGTCCAGGACAAATCCGACCTGGTGGCTGATTCTCTTCACGACACCTCATTTGAGGCGCTATTGCTGACCGCTTGGCTCTGCCCCATTCCTGGGAATCTACATCACTTTACAGTTGGCTTTTTGTTTTGTTTCTTTTATGCAGCATTAAAACTACTTTAGGTTTCTTGATATTACAAAATCACAGCTAATTGTTCTCCCAGTTGTGTAATTTCGGAAATATCATGTTCATTGGTCTATATAAATTGTGTACATTGTAACATTTTTCTCTTCTGTATTTTTATGCTACGTGATATAAAAGCTAATATGTTTGTTCTTTTACTCTGCCACAGATCGGTTTGAATATGAAGCCAATCTTATGGACGCTTATTCATTACAGTAAGTACCTTTCTTGTGGACACACTACTCTTTATGGTACTGTAAGTATACTATTGTACAATATCATATTGGTTGTAATAGTCTCCGGGCCAGTGCAGATCGGTGTCGGCCTCTCATCCGAGGGTCTGCGATTCGCTCCCCGCACAGGCGCGAGGAGTTTCAACAGTCTTTAGGCTACTGCTGTGGCTGGGCACCACGGCGGGTAAGGACAAAGCTCAGTCGAGTCGGCACGAGCTGACACGGTCTAATCGAGTCGGCATCAGTCGACACAGGCTCGGGTCCCCTCAAAGGGGGAGCTTGGCACAAAATAGCATTTATGTAAGAGAAAAGTCCCTGGCGTTTTAGCCCCTTGCATTCCGTATTTCAGAAGAATACAGCCGATATTACTCTCCCGAATATTTTCATGTTGTAATGTGCATGTATTGTTGGCAGTGTAGTGTTCATCAGGGCGAAAGACAAATTTTATTTTATATTAAATCTAGAACTTTTCTTATATGTTAAGAATTCATACAAGTCCCTTTTTAGCTCTTTTCTTTTGCTGATTGGTCGTCCCGCCATTTGAGAATCAGCTGCCAGGAGCTGATCAGCTGAGCAAAAGCCTTCCTTTCCGATGGCCCAAAGTTGTCCAGGACAAATCCGACCTGGTGGCTGATTCTCTTCACGACACCTCATTTGAGGCGCTATTGCTGACCGCTTGGCTCTGCCCCATTC